CACTTCCCTGGAAATTAGAAAACTCAGAAGGGTCATGCTTGCATTTCACTGAAAGTTTATAAATGCATGTAAATATTTGGGCTTCAGTAAACTGGTGCCTTTGAAGACCAACACTTTGTCAAGAAGTGCTGGCTGTCTCTAAATGTGGTTAACCATCACAGCACGAAATAAGTGGCCACTTGAAGACTTGGCCACTTGCTCACTATCAAAATACAAGTGATCAAAATCACAAACCTAACACTTCTACAATATTACTTTCTTTAGCTGCACAGCCACACTGCAGCAGTCACAGGACAGATAAAATAGCATCTGCAAAGAAAATCAGGATACGGCAGAGTGTTATATACCCACTGCTTTGACTTTACTTTTAGCTTTCAGCAGCTCATCAACAGTTTTTAGTATGTCATTATTATGCTGAGACAATGCAATAATAACTTTATTAAGAAGCATTCCATCTGTATTCTCTGTGTTTGAACAGATATTGACAGCCTGAATAATGCACGAGAGTCCTCTTTTTCCCTCTTCTTTGTAAATTCATTACTTGGAAATTCTGCATCCATCAGTGTTGCCATGGTGACAGCCCCACAAGTCCGCCCATGACCTCCCAAGACACTTGGCACCTACCCATAATTCTGCAAAATCCACATCAAAGAGAACTAAAACTAATTACCATATGGATTTGTAATTATTATTTTAGTAATTTAATATATATTGGAACATACATGTAGACTAAGGAGCTGAGATGGACAGGAGGATGAAGGGATCTGAATTCTACTCTCAGGATGGCTGGACAAGTTTGAGTTTCACAGGTGCTGAGCATTTACAACTCAGCACAACTTCAAGTGGAACTCTAAATGCTCCACACTCCTAAAATTCAGGTCTTCAAACTCTCTATCCTTAACTTTCCATTCCTTCAAAACAGTCACCTCTACAAATAATTTTATGGTTTCTATTAAAAATTAACTACACAATTACACAGTATTATTTTTACCCTTAATAAAGCACAGATTGTATAGCAATATAATCCACATATGTATTATTTTTCAGAGAAGTATAATGTTCCCAGTCAGAAATTATTTTATTTCTTTACCAATACTGCACTTGTAAAAAGAAAATGAGGAAACTTCCTCTGCAAGGCACACATAATTCCATTCCTAACTACCTCACCTTTTTCTAATGAATCCTTACTTCATTAAGTCTGTTCTGGGACTAATGCATACCTGAAAGGATAAGCTCTGTTAGAATTTTGTTCCTGTGTAGAGTACACTGGATTTCAGCTGAGCTAAACTGATAAAGTGATAGTATTGTACCTTCCCAGGTGATTTTTAAAGACAGGAATTATTAGGTGGAGAAGAAAAGAGATGTTGAAGATAAGTGAAAATATGCCTGAAAATAAGCGTCAAACTCATTTAGCCAGGTTGTAGATAAGTTGTGGCTAAGCCTTCTCTGAGCTCCTTAACGGTTGTTAAAGAACATTAATATAAGTATCCTTAGCATAAGGATTGTATGTATGTAAACATATATACATGTATGCATGAAGCAGCTAAAAAAAGCAGGTTTATTGTTATGCCTACAGACTCATCCCATCAGGATTATCTGAGCTATGGCAGCTCCACAGACACACTGAGATCTTCCTGTTTCCTCAGAAGTGAAATACTCCAACCTGTGAAGGGGGTGAATTTCCTGAAACAAATCCAATCTTGTTTCTCCTGCACAGCTGCAGGGTTTAGCAATGGGCCCACATCAAGCTGGCACACCACACTATGCAAAAGGTAAGGCCACGTGCAGCTCTGCACAGCTCGGTACCTCAGAGAATCACATCCTTCCTCTTGTATGCTAGGAGGCCATTTCTGCAGTTATAAAATCCCTCTAGGTCAAAGGGAAGGGTTCAGTAGTTGTGACTCAAAAGATACATATCCACCTCCTACCAGCAGTGCAGTGTGGCATCTCAGGCTACAGAATGACAGAATCACAGAATGGGTAAGGTTGGGAGGGACCACAGTGGGTCCTATGATGAATTTGAATAAATTCCTTAAAAATATGGGAAATACACAGCAGGAGCAAAACACCATTTTACAGGATCTGAATCCAATTACTTTCTTCAATAAAGACAGACTTGTGATCTATTTCTACCACTGACTGTTGTTTAACCTCATGGAGTTAATTAGGTCAAACCAATAATCAATCCACTACCATCCTCCCTGTTAACACCAACAATCTGTGGTTTGTTATGGAAGGCAATATACATGATCTGAAACAAAGGCAGTTCACTGCACTAAGAAGGAATATTGTGGCAGCTCAAAAGGTGTCATGCTGTACTGCAGCGGTGTTAAAAGAAGGCTTCAACATATGTCAGTGCTAACCATATCTCTAAACTTGATGAGCATCCTTGCCTAGTTTCCTGATAGTATTCCTGCTGTCACTCAAAAGGATCATGCACTTAGCATGAGCTATCCAGACTTAAGAACTTGTATAGTGAAAGGCTCAGGTAAATTACTTTTAAATTTAAGTAAGAGGCGAAAGGATTTAAATTGAAAATCCATATTCAATTCTCCATTACGCTGCTGAAAATCCACAATTACACTGTCAGGAAAGTTATTTCAGACTCATACTTGCTTAACTGTGATGAGAATCCAGTCTTGTCATTTGAATTCAGTTAAAGTCAGATATGGAGTTGTGTGCCTTCTTTTGTTACTAAAGGATTAAACTATGTCAGGCTTTTTACAATTTAGTGCCATTTCAGATTGCCAACTTAGAACACGATATAAAAACATTCAGTATCTCTCCAGTGCTCTTTCATTTTAATTCAAAATATATGTATTATTCATACTAAAATTTAATTGAAGTCCCTGGAATGTAAAGGAGTTACTGACATCACGTATGTAAGGCTTAGCCACAACAAGGTATAACAGAAATAGGAAAGCTGTCTACTGCCACAAATGAGAAAGGTAAGTGATCTAGGACTCCAAAATACATACCAAGAAGGATTAGAACCTGCAGCAAAATCTAGTCTGTTCACTGTGGGTCCAGCCTGCTCCCTGTTGTTCTGCAGATGTTCCAATAGTATTTCACCAAAAGCAATGGCCACTAGGATTCAAGAGCACAGTGTGGTGCAATCCAACAGACATATCTGCCACTAATTTAGGAGCAAATGGGTTAAAAACCCAGGAGCTTCACTATTCTCAGAAAAAAATATATAACTGAGGTAAGCAGCAACCCACCACACCCTCCAGCCTTATGTTACCTACTTCTCATTTGCCAAAGCATCAGTCTATTCAGATATTTTTGGGAGCTGTGATCACACTATTTCATTTTGCTCAGTTCTACCAAGTGCAGCTCACATTCAGCTGTTTCATTTTCTTCTTCTGTATATTTCCTTTGGCTCTACAATCTCTTCTACAGCTTTCAAGCTGGCAAACCTCTGTGTAGGTCTTTAATGCAAACATAGCTTACCTATTATGCCTTACCTGTTAGTTCAAGAAAATACCATCACTGAATATGAAATCAGTTTTTTTGGGAGCTAACTAGAAAATATTCCATGGTATATCATTACAAAGAATAGTTACATATTTCCCATTTAATCCTCATCTAACACTTTAAAGACTACAAGCACACATGAAATATAATAAAGCCCAAATAGGAAGACTATTTTAAAAAAAATTGGGCTACACCACTCACCTTGACTAACAGATGCAACATTTCGACAGCTAGTCACCCTGGGCTTTTTCCTCTGCATCCACCCATGTTTCATGCTGACCTATTAATTTTAGTCACTTGCTGGACTCCATTTAATGGTTCAATGAATATAATACACTGGTGCTTTCCTTTGCATAATCAAGAGGCTCAAAAATAACAAAAAGGAAAATAACATTTTTAACTTAATATACCAAAAGGTTTCTGCAAACATTATGTTTCAACTTTTTCATTATTAATAAAATTTTATCTACATTATTTTTAAACTAAGCTTTATGCCTTTGAACAGACTTCTGAACATATTACCTGCTCCCAACTATGCCAGATCTCAGTTCACATTCAGTCTTTCAAGATGCATATCCTTAATAAGAATAAGGAGCTAATCCTTTGAAATACTGGGAGACTAAGCCCATCTTATTCAGCCTCTTAGCAGCATACTCAAATTGCACTCTCTCTTTGGAGCCATTCATTCTTTTCAAGGATCAGGTTCTGTTTCCTGAAAGTCTGATGGGTTTAGGACTATAATTAATCCTACAGTACATTGAGCACTAAAATCTACATTGCTTCATAACTCCCACTGCAAAGAAGAAAATAATTTGCTTCAGCCAACCAATTTTATGGGCTTCTAGAAAAAAAGTGCATTTATAATGCATATTCTTAATTAATACTTTCAGTATTCAGACAGTTCATACATATTTTTCTTCCACCTGAACAACTATTATTCCCCTGCACACTCTCCCTTAGCTGAATGCGGGAGAAAAATTATAAAACTCAAAGCAGAAACAAAACTATTACTGCACTTATGAGAGCCAAGGAAGAATAAAATTAAGTGAACTTAAATTTAACATCAAAATCATGGTAAAAAAGGCCATTCCTTGGCCACTTTACATCTAGTTCAGAAGCTGATGAACAGGCAATTACAGTAAAGCCGCTCAGCATCAGATCCTCAGGTTCTCATCATGAAAACTACGACAAAGAAATTTTAACTCATCTAGTTGAGCAAGCCTTTCCTTTTTGTTAAGATGGCCAAGACTCTTTGAAAGCTCCCTTGGTTTCCATGCTCTTGAATTAATATTAGGTAATCTGGAAATCCTAAAATCACCAATTTAAATAGAGCTTCTTTATGCTTCCAGGCTCCCCGTTCCAAAGTTTTGATTCAACTGGAATTTTGCTAAGAGCCAGGAGCCAAGATCCATCCAACACACAAATACTCAGCTTTGCCTTCATAAGCCTCCACTCTCTGATCTCATAGCAGTAGCCCCCAGGTAAGGGAATGAATGCTGAACATTCCAGAAGGGAGCCCTGAAGATTCTAAACAATGAAAAAACCCTCCCTATCGGTGGGACAAGAGTGAAATTTATCTGAGATATCATTCCTAATTATTAAAAGGTAAAAGTTAAGTTTTTTCTGATTTGTAAAGGATTATAGTTACATAACATTCAGTCTGCGGAAGTTCCTTGGTTGGTAGTCTTGAAGACCAAAGAGTTCCTCACAGGCACAGCATGGACACAGGACAGAAATAGGTATGGGAGCTGAAGCATGCAGCCTCAGTGACCTGTTTCCTCTTGTTAGAATCAGACTCCTAATTTGGTAGAAATTGGATGAAGACTCTTTGTAGCCTAGCTGATGTGGGTCCTCCACTAGCGGAGGGCTTGAACTGTCTCGGGCCACTGAGCAGCCATGAGATGACAACACGTTTTAATCACTTTTACAGCAGCTGGACAAGAGCCAGCAATCTACAGATAAAGTGCTACAAGTGACTTAACGTACCCATTAAATATGTCTTATTGTTAGCAGTACTGAAGATTAATGAGGAAAACGAAAGTGAAAAGATAGCACTGGTAAGTGGCAGTTTTACTTAATCAAAGAGCCTCTGGGGCCTGTAGAAGTATGTCAGGGTCACGAGGATTTATTTTCTTCCTCGCTTATTTAGACAGATCCTTTTTGCAATGCTGGTATAGAGACTCCTTGTATTTACACTACACAAAAGCTGTATTAGAAGACAAGGGCAAAGGTCTCATACTAATAGCTCCAGCCCATGGCTGCCTGTCACTCTCTGCTCCTCACAATCTTCCTTGCTGGTTTTGGATTACTGCTGATGCAATTCAGGTATTATTAGCCAAATCTAAGGGAAGATGATAGTCTCCCTCTGCAACCAATGGCAATAGGTACATAATATTACATTGCACTTACATTTTGGTACCTCATACCTTAAATGGAATAAGCTGCACTATATCTAGTACAATTAGATCTCTAATTGCAATGCAGTAGATCTAGATCTCTAATTATCTGAAGGGTGAGATTTTCTTACTGAAGCACTTCAGCTAGGCATTAAAAGTAAGAACGGATGAAATTTAGGACATGGTACAGTGGATTATCAAGCAGAGATGGCAGCTCAGATCCCAGAGCAATGTAAATCCATTAGCTAAGAGTCTGATACTTCAGTCTGTGAAATGGGAATCACTGTACTTTCTTATTTCATGGTGCTATTAAACTTTGCATATGAAACTTTATTCAAATTCTCAGTCTGTGAACATAAGAAACTTCAAATCATTGTGCATTATGATAGAATGTTACAGACAATATTCAGAACTTTAAAAGTACCTGAATTAAAGGATATTCTTGGAAGTAACTTAATCTAAATTTTTCAAGATCACCATTTATAATTAGACTTCCTATGTTTGGTAATGAAGTAAAAAACTCACAGGTTCTATTTTTTTAAAAAACAAGAAATTTCCAACAGAAGGAAATGTCAATCCTGGGGAAAAAAATGCAAATCTTGGTTACTTGAAAAATAACTCCTATTAAAATCTTGTTGGAAGAAATCATATAATATTTGTGAGACACGGATAATGCAGATAAGAGCTCTTGAGAATGTCCATGAAGAAATTAATAACCACACAGTCAAAAGAACTGAGCACTACTTGCATAAGGGCTCTATTAGTATGCTGCCTTCTGTTACGAAGTTGTTGACTATCTGCACAGCTAGTGGATCCTTTGTCTCTTATCTAAATTTAATCAGACATGAAGGACATGAGCCCATACTACAGGTCACTGCCTGAAATTCCCCAAGCAACAAAGCAAAGAAAACTATTGAAAGTCAGTGGAAGTAGATGCTACTTCCTGCTATAGGAAGGATGAGACTCTACAGAAATAGGGATCAGGTTCTGAGTCTTAGCAAAAACATTAGCAAGGAATCAAAAATCCCTTACAAAGGAAACTGAAAAATCCCTCATAAAAGAAACATCTTTTTGTCAGCATTTAAGCATATGCAATTTGGTTTAACTAACAATTCAGAATTGTTCCCTTGGCAGGACTATTCTATATATTGTGCTAGACTAAAAGTATTTATCTTGATTTCAGAAATGATAAGTAGATTGCTCAAATTCCTATGACAAAAATTGCAATGATTACACAAATTTGCAAGTAAGCATTTAGTAAGTGCTCCTTTTCCCCTTTCTTTTAATAAGATGGCATGCAAAAAAAAAAAAAAGCTTTATTCAGGTATTTTCCACTAGGTACCTAGTATTTAAAGTATCTGCTTTTTGTGGAAAGATAAAGCATTTGCAGCAAATTGAGGATATGCACTTACTAATTTGGAAAAATTATACTCATTCATGCCCTAGCTCTATATTCTGAAGGCATTTTTAAGTCATTCTAGGAACTAGAATAGCTCAAAATGAAACTTCTTAACTAGAGCATGTTACACCTGGGAAAAGTGTCTTGATGAGCAAAGCTAGTTGTTAAATTAGGGAAAAAAATCACATTGATTATGGTCATGAGTCCAAGACAAGCTTAATTAAAATCAATGGAGAATTTTCAAGTGAAAGAAAAAACAAAAAGAGAGAGACAGCAGCAAAGTGTTATCTCTTAATTATGTTATTGAAATTTTCTCTAATTGATACTGTCCCATGTCACTATAACTGAAGCAACCCACAGATCTCAGCATATAAATACTATTTCACAGTTTCAGCCCTCAAGCTTAAGTAAGAGATGGTCCTTTATCCTTTCTGTACTCCCTCCACAGACTTTTACCAGGACTGACAGTCCTGTTCAGCTGTTCAGCTCTTCTTTGCTGGCTTTTCTTCTTTTTCTGGAAGCTGTGACTGGTGTTCTAAGACAGAAGGGAAAGCAGGGGCAGCAATTCTATCTGTGGCTTTTTCACTGACTTACGTGGTCTGCCTGGACTTGGCTCTTCTATTTTTGTTTCCCAGTATTGAAGTGTGTATGATTATTCTTAAAATGTTCAAGACATTGCTCAGACAGAGTGCCAAATACTATAGCTGGTGCAAATATAGATATTTTTAGTTACATGATATCCAAGTAGCTTCAAAGTCTTTCACTTTTTCTTTAATCTCTATTTTTTTCCCAACTAGCTGCAAGGGCTCTCAAATGTTGAGCAAGCCAGTGTCACCAGAAAGCTGTCCAGAAGTTCCTGAGGAATGGCAAAGTACCGGAAACAAACGTCAAAGCCATAGAAAAGACCAGGACTACCACATGGATACTAAGTGCTACTTAGTGTTCACTTATTACAAGTGATATTACTCTCTTGACTTACTCTTTCAATACAAGGGTTCTTTGGTATTGATATACATATTGTACATACAGCTACCATCTTCCCCAGCCAGGTCCTACAGTCACAGCTGCTGCTACTAAAATCCATCCATCACTTCTCTGAGGCATCTCTGCTCATTTTGTTCTGCTCTGCATCATCTCCGCTCAATTTTTTTTCCTGATTTTTTTTTTCCATTAATTCTGTTCAAAACCCACAGGTAGAAATTAACTGTGATGTTCCATGTCAGTGTAAAAATGCACCTGCATTAAAAATTAGTGACTAGTATTCAAAACCTGTTGGGATTCCTTATCCAGGGTCTAGCACAACCTGGATGGTTAAGAAGGACATAGTCTAAACTTTTACTGGAACTTATAATACAGTAGCACAGCTAAAGGCTATTTTAAAATGATAAATACCCTTCTGTTGGTCACCTTACTCTTAAAAGAAGAACTGGCACTTTGGCATCAATGAAAAAATCCCTTGTGATTCTACTGTTCCACAAAACTAAGCCTCACTATTCCCATGACAGCTTTCTTGATTTCCTTCCTATGCAAATTCCTACTCACCCACACAAGCAGTGAAGCTGTGGTCAAGCTGGTGCTAATAAGTTGGCAATCATCCCTGATATTGCATTGTTAATCAGAGGGTGCTGTTTAACAGAATCCCACTGGTGTTATAAAAAGCTCTAAACAGCAACAAAGATGGTGCTTCATCCTGTTAAAAGAGTTCTCTTGAAGTTTCAGGCACCTCTGAGTCTGGGGTACCTACGGCCATGGAAAGGAGCAGAGGTAATTTGCATCTGTGAACATCTTCTTTTCACTGTTTGCTTTCTTGTAGAAAACTGCACACAATAAAAACAATAGCTAATGAAGAAAGTTTGGAAGTTCTCTTCTAAATACCAGGGAGTGTAACCAAAGCATGTGCTTCCTGTTTAGATCACTAGAAACAAAGGATCTGCCAACTAACTAAACACCACCAGTCCAATTTAATTGACCACTGCCCCAAGTAGGTATTATTTCTTTAAAATTCAAAGGCCCAAATCTTAAGCTGACTTCAAAGAAATGTTCAGCCCAATGTACACGATAATAGGTAGGTTAGAATTCTTTCCATTCATTACCTATGTGATAACAGGCCACTAATTAAAACAGCAAGTCATACGTAGCTATATTATTTACACTGTCATATTCACAAAGGATGGGTGAGATTCCTACATAGCCTTTTTTTGTTTTTCCCCTATCAGGCTCTCTAAATGTGAATAGCCCAGGAATTGAATGGAATAAAGTGTTAGATGTTTTGATAATCTTATTGGAAATATTAATGGTAGTAATAATTTTAACAGCAGAGCTACCTGAAAGCTTGTGGTAGCTTTTCACATCAAAACAGCTCTGTCTGAACCTGATGAAGGGATGGGGATGTGCAGGTGATTTACAGTTCAGAAGAAGAGAAGGAAAAGCCTTGTACAAGTTCTTCTGTGCAAACCCTTTCTGGTCCATTTGTATGCTGAAGGGAGGAAGCAGGGAGTGAAACATCCCCAGCTTCACCAGGAAGGGTCCCTGGCAGAGCAATTGAGGCTGGATATGAAACCAGGATAAATCAGCAGTGTTATGTGAATATTTGATTCCAGATTGCAAATACATATAGTAGCCAACATTAGAAAATCAAGCAGAGAAACACTGCAGAAATAGACTGTTAGCACTGAAAGCACAAGAAAGTTCTGGAAGAACTCAATCACTGACATTTTGTATAGCACAATGCTTCATTTGAGTTGAAATCTTTAAAATGACATGACGAGTAACCAAAAAAAAAAAAGCTACATATCCAAGAAACTTTAAGAAATTTATGCTACTCAAAGACAAAGGCAAGAAAGCCTTTATGGGTTTTTTACAAAATCAAATATAAAACCCTGTTTGGGATGGAATACCTCTTAATATGAAAATCAGTTTTCAATTAGCACTTTATAGATGCTGTTTTGCTTTAACATATAATGCAAAAGAGTTTCTACTTTACATTATGAATTATGGCTGAATATACCCATTGTGATTTCTTTTATATCATTAGTTTTTCTTAAAAAGAGTTGAGTCAAGTGAATAGAGTCAAAGATGCCACACACGTCCTTTCATTCTCCTTATTCTTTTCGAATAATCTGAATTTTAGATACTCCTGAATGGATCTGAGATTACAAAATATATCCTCAGGGAACAACTTTCTCAACCTTTAAATGCCAGTGTACACAAATGATACAAGAGAAAAAAATTAGAGTTTTGCATATATTCAAATCCAATGGTATTTTCACGTTTTCATTTTCAACCGTCCATAGCATATTATTTATTCTGGAACACAAAATAAATCCTTGGACTTTTCCCTTGTTAAGTAAATTGAAAACAAATATTGCACCTAACACAAAAGCCAGGTAAAAAAATGTGTTTTATTAAGAATGATATTTAAAGAAAATTGATGTGCCTTCATGGAATTACCTTATTGATAACCTTTCACTGGTAGCTCTGGTTGTCCTGGAGGTTCTCCTGACTTCTAGGCCTTCTCTCATAGAGTGGGGAAGTTGAAGCCTGAGAGCTGAATAACAGTTTTGGAGAGGTCTCCCTGGCAGGAGTCTGCCTAAGGCCAGACCATGCCATGTGCTTGGAAGTGCACCTGCAGGCAAGTCCTTCTGTCACGCTGCTCATGACTGGAACCAAAATTCTTCAGCCCTGACAGGTCCTAGACTTTGAAAACCTATCCCTTCTCATGTGACAGAAGTCCACAAATTCAGAGAGACCAGCCTGAAGGCCCCAAACTGCCACCATATTTGCCTCACCACAGTTTGCATTCTCTAACTTCATGATGCCAGGGCATAAAAAGAGAAAAAAGCAAGAAACGACTGGAAGACTGGATAAAAGATTCAAAGACCTCTTCAACTCTGGCATCTCTGTAACATTAGTCATCTGCAAGCTATTACATCATGCATTTACACAGCAGCCTGTGTTCAAACACCACTGAACTATGTATCTTTTTGATTTTTTAAAAAAATCATTTAGCATTAAAAAAACCAAAACCAAATAATCTGTCAGTGATCTTCTAACTTTTGAATAAATTTGAAGGCCATCAGAAAATAAAGTATAATGAAAGATTTTATTTACTGTAATACTCCTAAGAAAATTGCAATAAGGAGCATTTTATAGAAAGTCCATGTTTAAAGGACTCCCAGGTAAGTTTTCAAGCCGACAACTGAACATTCAAATTTTAGCATAATGGCCAAATGGAAGCACTGATTTTTTTCTCAGACCCTTTTTATAAGTACTCTAAAATGTAATAAAGTCAGGTACATTTCTGAGTTCTAACTGCTGCCTTTCTGCCCCTGCAAGAACACTGCCAAAAGCCCATTTTTATACCAGAAGGTGACATAGAAGTGCTCGTATCTTAAATGCAGTTCCGACACCCTTGATGGGCATCTTATCCAATGTTCTCGTTTCCCCAAGTAAATAGCTGTAAGGTGAAATCAAAACTAGTGGTAAGCTATAACAAATGTAACAAAATTGTAGACCTGTTCAGGATTCCCACCAACACAAGAAATTAAAATCCGAGACAACTCAGCTGACTGATTTAACTAAGATTATATATTCCAATGGTGTAATGAAACAAAGAAGATTTATGGCATAAAAGTACTACAGATTGCAAAGGAAAGCAATAGTCCTTAACACAAAGAAACGAGACAACAGAAAGGGAAGTGCAGGAATCTTTGTAACAGGGAGTATTGGTCTGCATTTGAAACAATCTTATGAATGAAGAGCATGTAAGACAGAGAATGAGTGTCAATAGAACCCCCAAAGGTCTTGAAAGCACGGCACTACCAGGTTCTGGAAATGATTATATTTTTTATGTTAAGGGATGAAAAACAAATTTAATTAGTTAGCAAAATGCAATTTTATTCCATTTGGAGTCATTTTCCAATACATTAACTTTCTCATTATAATTCAGTTTTGTCTTGCTAAACAAAAGGAACCACTTCAACACCTGTGGCATGAAGAATCATCTAGAAGATGCACTGTGCCCCAAATTACTGCAAAGAATTGAATGCAACTTCTGCACAGTAACACCAAACAGTGGCACTTGGAGAGACAAACTGAGCCTGACTGAGCAAGCAGCCAAGATAATTAACAGCATCATTCACATGCCAAAAAAACCCCAACCAAACCCAAACAAAACAAATAAACCAAACACACTTCTATTTGAAAGTAGTGACTTAACTAGCAGGAAAGAAGCAAGTCCAAACTGCCACTACTTTTTTTCTCCAGTCCTTCTCTTTTGCTCCTGTTCCATATTTTCCCTTGTGATTGCTCATTCTTAACAATCTTACAGGGTGAAATTAAATGCAACACTCCGTTCCTCTAATTAATTTTGCAATTTAAGATACTTTGCTCCATCAGTGCAAAGAGTCATCTAACTACACAGCTTAAGCATATATAAATGAAGAGAAAGAGGTTCACTCCATCTGCCTCTAATTGAAATGGTTACACTAGCAAAAATCCTGTTCTATAGATGGTTTTGCACAAGTTGTTTATAAGTCAGTTTCTGTTACACTAGTACAATCACCAGAGTTAGATGCAGTTTCCATTTAAATCACCAGAAAACCAGGTCAGGGATTGTCTCAGTATGACTATGACTTGCTGAAGCATTGTGGTACTTCTGGAACAGAAATATATCTGAAAGACAAGTGATTATGAAAAATAGGGACAACCAGGTTAATGTTAATCTGCTTTAATAGGAGAGGTAAAAAGGTGGGGAGGGCAGTTTTTCCTGATGTCATTGTTCTAAAACTCTTGTTTTTTGCTGTTCTTCATCTAAGCAGCCAGTTCAGCTAGGAGACGCCATCATTTTACTCAACCACAGATTTTAAAAAAAAACTGTTCTTCCTATTCTCTGCCCACAAAGAAAT